GCTAAGTCGCTTCAGTCGTGTCTGACTCTGTGCGACCCCATAGATGGTAGCCCACCAGGCTCCTCTGTCCCCAGGATTCTCCAGGCAAGAACGCTGGAGTGGGTTGCCATTTCCTTCTCCAATGTGTGAAAGTGAAAAGTGAAAGTGAAGTCGCTCAGTCCTGTCCAGACTCTTCGAGACCCCATGACTGGAGCCTACCAGGCTCCTCCATCCATGGGGGTTTCCAGGCAAGAGTACTGGAGTCGGGGGCCACTGAAGTATAGTGAACTTAATCTCTGGAGAACTCTTGGTCTCATTCTTTGTTTCCTAATGCAAAGTCCCTTCCCAAACCTTCCTATCAGGCTCAGAAGCAGAGACTTCAGCTGGGGCTTGGTGTGCTAGCAACTATCTGGCCAATTTCCCCTTCCCCCGCCAGGAGCAGGCCTCCTCCTCAGGGCCAAATAGTGACTCACATCAGACCAACCCTGGCGGCTACAACGTTTGTAAAGGCCCAGCCACACCCTGCTTTCAGGGCCAGCCTTGAGTCTTTTTCCCCTGGGAGCCCCAGGACCCACTTTGCAGATCTGATTCACTGGTTTAAACAGCCTCAGACTGGATTTCCTGGGGCTGCTCCTGGTGGGCGAGGGTGTGTATGTACGTGCGTGCGTGTGTGCATGTGTATGTGTGTGTGGATATTGTTGCTACTCCTGTTCTTGAATAAATTGGTGGCCAGAAGATAGTTTATTGGGGACAGGTTTCAGAGGCAGGGGACAAGTCTTCATTTACTCACAAGTGACCCAGGTGATAATATGCAGAGAGGAGTGCAAAGATTTCACTGGAAAACGAGAGTAACTGGCCCATGTCCCTACTACCCTGTCAAAGGGCATAGGGCCTCTGTCCTGAGATTGGGTGGCTACTCTGACATAAGGATGGGAAGGAACTGTGGGAACAATTGTGATGAGGAGTGAGGTCCCTGGGGACAGGAATTGGGGTGAGGTTGCTTCAGGACCTTGCAGAGTCTGGCACGGGGGCCTCCAAGGCGATCGAAAAGGTGGGTGGAACTATTGAACTGGGTGAAGAGTGGGCTTGGGGCTGTGTGTGGAGTGGAGGGGCACCTTCCTCTATTACCCAAACTCTCCACGGTGAGCGTGAGTGCCCTTCTGGGCAATCCATCTATTCATCTGGGAACTAGGACAGGACAAATAGACACAAGAGGATTCAGCCTTTGACACCCTCCTAGGAGATGCTCACAAGGACAGAGGGATTCTATCCTGTTTCTGGGCAGCAGGTGCTAAAAGTCTCATGAGTGAGTTACTTGACTTGCTTAGGCTCAGAATGTATGCCTTTGGAGTTGGAGGTAGAGGGTTGTCCTGGTAGAGGGGTGGGTAGGAGGTGAGAGGCGCTGAATGGGGGGATCAGCCCTCAGGTCGGGGGTCAGGATATTTGTGCTTTTCACAGTCCAGTTGCAGAAACCCTCCCAACAGCTGTTCCCAGGAGCCTACTGTCACCCCAGGGCCCTGTCCAGCCATAAGAGTGGGGTGGCTTTGTCTCAGGAGGCCTGGGAGGTTGCAGCTCAGAGTATCTCCATCTGGGATATTTGGGGTGGGGGAGGGCAGGGTGTGGGCAAGCCCCAAGGGACTTCAGAGAGGTGGTAATTCCCAGCGGGATGTAGGAATCAGGTGAATGTACTTTGGGGGGGGGGCGTTAATTTTGCTCATAAGGAAGGGACTCGGACTATGATGGGGAGGGGGACTCTGAGTGAGTCCTGGGGGGGTGTCAAACTCTGGGTGATCTTAATGGCGGGGGGCAGCATGTGAACTGCGGGGATGTCCAAGTGTGAGTGTGCTAGCGGGGCGTGGGGCTGGGGCTCGGAGTGGGCTGGGGCTCGGAGTGGGCTGGGGTGGGGCAGCTCTCAGGAGGGCAGGAGCCTCTGGCCCCTGGGAGGGGAGAGGAGGAAGCTGAGCCGCCAGGAACTGACCAATGGGGAGAGCGCCCTTATTTGCAATCAGGAGTCTGCAAATTCCAGGGCGCTCAGATAGCCGCCTGACACCTTCCCCCCTCCCCCCCCCCCCCCGCCCGCCCCGGGCATAAAAGGCGCCAGGTGAGGGCCTCTCGCCACTCCTCCTGCCGACCGCAGCCACTCCGACTAGTGCCGCCTCGTTCTCCTTCGCCATGACTTCCTACAGCTATCGCCAGTCGTCGTCCACCTCGTCCTTCGGGGGTATGGGCGGCGGCTCCGTGCGGTTCGGGGCGGGAGGCGCCTTCCGCGCGCCCAGCATCCATGGGGGCTCAGGTGGCCGCGGCGTGTCGGTGTCCTCCGCCCGCTTCGTGTCCTCGTCCTCCGGGGGCTACGGCGGCGGCTATGCGGGCGCCCTGGCCACCTCCGACGGGCTGCTGGCGGGCAACGAGAAGCTCACCATGCAGAACCTCAACGACCGCCTGGCCTCCTACCTGGAGAAGGTGCGCGCCCTGGAGGAGGCCAACGGCGACCTGGAGACGAAGATCCGCGAGTGGTACCAGAAGCAGGGGCCCGGGCCCGCCCGCGACTACAGCCACTATTTCAAGACCATCGAGGACCTGCGGGACCAGGTGGGCGGTGGCCCGGCCGGGGGAAGTGCACCTGCCGCGGAAACCCAGCCCCGCGGGCCGGGCGAGGCCCGAGGCGGGGCGGCGAGTGCCCGAGCCACCTCCCGGCGGGGCGGGAGCGAGCCCGTTAGGATGTGGGAGGTCCACAGGGTGGGGCTGAACAGAGCGGGCAGGTGAGGAGGGGCAGGACGCTGGGCCAGGAAGTGAGGCCTGGAGGGCGGGGCGGGTTAGTGTGGCGGGCTGGAGGAGGAAGGCGCTCCGGTCCGCTAGGCCTGGGAAAGGGGGTCGGAAGTAGCAGAAGGAGCTGGGGCACAATGTGGGCTGCCCTGAGGTCTGGGCCCGAGTCGCCGTGACAACAGGAATATGCAAGAGTTTGGCCAGAGAGGAATTCGGTCCACACCAGGCCAGCCTAGTCTCCTGCTGCCCGCGGTTGGGGCCCTCTGCATTCCTTTATTCCGGGCGGTAGCGGGGGGTCTGGATTCCCTCACGCTCAGGCTGAAGGCCTCCTCCTCCCTGAGGGCCACTCGGGACTCAGAGGAGCTCTAGGAAGAATGGGAGAGGCCAACTCTGGGCCCTGGTCAAGGAGGGCCATTCGCTGTGGCCGCTGGACCGAGTGAAAGAGGGGCGGATGCAAGCTCCCAGCGTGCGGAGGCCCATTGCTCTGTGGGTGGAGACAGGTCCCGGCTCCAGCCTCTTCCTGGGCGGTGCTCAGGGTCCTTCAGGGTGGGGCTTGGTCTCCGCCCACCCTACGGGGAAGAGCAGGAGCCGGGAGCTCTTCCAGAAGAAATGTTTCAGGAGCCAGTGGGACGTTTAACAGACTCACATGCCATGCATGCTTGCGAGTGTGCTCAGTCGTGTCCGACTCTTTGAGACCTCATGGACTTTAGCCCACCAGGCTCCTCTGTCAATAGAATTTTCCAGGCAAGATTACTGGAGCCGGTTGCCATTTCCTTCTCCAGGGGATCTTCCCCACCCAGGGATGGAACCCCTGTCTCTTATGTCTCCTGCACTGGCAGGCGCACATGTTGGATCTCCAAACACACAGACCCCACAACATAGCCCAGGACCCACCTTGTGCCTGGCCTGGTGATGGGTGCCAGGTATCTAGACCAGTCCCTCAGATGAGGAGAGATAGAGATGTAAACAACTAGGATAGTGCTTTCACACTTGTAAAACAGTGACCTACACTAGGAAATACAGTTTACCTGAAAGAGGAGATGCAAAGTGCCTACACTTAACAAATGCTCAACAAAAGAAATTCCCTTCCCTGAAGGCAGAATGTGCTTTGAGTAGGCGTGAGACAATGGGCTAACCCCTATTCTTGCTGCATCTGGTCTGCAGATCACTAGAGGCTGCCTCCCTAAGACCATTAAGAGCTTCCCTGGGTACAGGTCTTGGAGACTTTTCCCTCTGAGCCTTACCGCTCTCCCCTGCCCCTTCCCAACTCCTACCTCCTGGGTCAGCCTCCTTGGCAGTAATTTTCTCCTGTTCCAGCTCTCAGGCCTGGACTAATTTCAAGGTCGCCCAGAGAGCAGACAGCCTAGGGTGGCTGGAGCTTTGGTCTCCAGGGGCCTGGGGATACACGTACTCCTTTGCTCCTCTGGGAAGAAAGTGGGTGGGCATTGCCTGTATGCTGAACTGGTGCCAACCTCCTGCATTCTGCCTCCCAGATTCTCGGTGCCACCATTGAGAACTCCAAGATAGTCCTACAGATCGACAATGCCCGTCTGGCTGCAGATGACTTCCGTACCAAGTGAGTGTCTCTGCTTTGGGGGCTGCGGAAACCAGAGCAGGGGAGGGGGCAGTCCCTTAGGGGGCTCAGTGCCGTGGGGGGAATGGATGCTCCCCTCACCTGCCCCAGCTTGTCTAAAGCACTCTCCATCTCCCATGGGGCCTTGAGCCCAGGGGAGGTGGGGAAATCTTCAGAGGTGCGGAGGAAATGCTGGCCTGACTACAACTATTTCCTCTGAAAGGTTTGAGACGGAGCAAGCTTTGCGCATGAGCGTGGAGGCCGACATCAATGGCCTGCGCCGGGTGCTGGATGAGCTGACCCTGGCCAGGACTGACCTGGAGATGCAGATTGAAGGCCTGAAGGAGGAGCTGGCCTACCTGAAGAAGAACCACGAGGAGGTGGGTTTCATGCTGGGCATCCCATCCACCATAGCCCATTTCCCCCGATGAGGACATTTTTAGCCTGTAGTCTCTGACTGTGACCACATTTATGGCCCCCTTGACCTGACCCTGAGTGTGGATTGTGGCTCTCATGGGTTCTAACAGCAGATGGTGGTGACTCCGTCTGTTTCCCAGTGCTGGGTCCTAGGTCTGCACCTGAAAACTAGCCTCTCCCCCTGTGGCCTGGGTTTTCAGGGAGTGACCTGGCTCAGGCCCAGCAGGCCCTGGGCCCTGACATGCCCATCTCTGCTGTATCTTTCCAGGAAATCAGTGCACTGAAGGGCCAGGTGGGTGGCCAGGTCAGTGTGGAGGTGGATTCTGCTCCAGGCATTGACCTAGCCAAGATCCTGAGTGACATGAGAAGCCAATATGAGGTCATGGCTGAGAAGAACCGGAAGGACGCTGAGGCCTGGTTCACCAGCCAGGTATGGAGGGGGAGGCAGGTGCTCCCTGGAGAGGTGGCAAGGAGAGCAGGCTTAATGCTCCCGGGCAAGGGTCTGATTCAGTGCTATTCCCTCTGCCTCCTTTCACTGCAGACCGAGGAGCTGAACAGGGAGGTCGCTGGCCACACGGAGCAGCTGCAGATCAGCAAGACGGAGGTCACTGACCTGCGGCGCACCCTCCAGGGTCTGGAGATTGAGCTGCAGTCTCAGCTCAGCATGGTAGGTGCCCTCTGCCCTGTGGGATTCACACTTATGTCCTTGCAGCCTTGGGCAACCAGGGTGGTGGCTCTGCCTGGACCCTTTCTGGGCACTAGGCTCTGCTGAGCCTTCTTCCCTCTCTGCCTTCAGAAAGCCGCCCTGGAAGGCACGCTGGCAGAAACGGAGGCTCGCTTTGGAGCCCAGCTGGCGCAGATCCAGGCGCTGATCAGTGGTATCGAAGCCCAGCTGAGTGACGTGCGAGCTGACACAGAGCGGCAGAACCAGGAGTACCAGCACCTCATGGACATCAAGACCCGGCTGGAGCAGGAGATTGCCACCTACCGAAACCTGCTGGAGGGCCAGGACGCCTACTACAACGACCTGTCCCTCGCGAAGGCCCTCTGAGTCCAGCGGCCTCCTGGCCTTCCTGCTCTGCTGCAGAAGGAATTCCCCTGGGTAGAGGCATGGGAGGGGAGGGACCCTTACCCTTGCCTCTCCCCCTGACATGCCAATAAAACTTTATGGGCCAAGGGAAGATGGACATTGGGTTTCTTATTTCAGTCCATGGAGGTGGGTCTGGCCTTGGCACTGTTTAGATTTTATTGTTTAGGTTTCATTTAAACCAGAGTCCACCCTGTCCCAGGAAGGGGAAGGGAGGGCTCTCACAAACTGTAGCTATTACCATAATTCCTCTTTCCGGAGGTCTTCACTTATCTCACCAGTTCCCTAAAACAAACTTGTGAAATAAGCATTGCTACCATTTTATGGAGAGATAGGGCTTCCTTGGTGACTCGGTAAAAAATCCGCGTGCAGTGAAGGAGATCCAGGTTCGATCCCTGGGTTGGGGCGATCTCCTGGAGAAGGGGATGGTTACCTACTACAGTTTTCTTGCCTGGAGAATTCCATGGACAGAGGAGCCGGGAGGGCTATAGTCCATGGGTCACAGGGTCGGACTGAGGTGGTTTGTTGTGTATATATACTGTTCTAATGCATTGCAAGGGTGGGATTTGAAACTGTGGTTTTTGCTTCCAGATTTAGTGTTTTTTTTTTTTTCCCACTGAACTCCCCCCAAGGGTTGGTGTGTGTTTATCTGTAATTAATGTTTACTGAGCACCTACTAAGGGCCATTTAATCAAAGTCCATAGGGTTGTAAAGAGTCAGACATGACTGAAGAGACTTAACAAGTTATATCCTATATAGAGCAGGAAACAGGCTCAGAGAGGTTAAATAACTTGACCAAAGCCACACAACAACTAATGGCAGAGCTAGGACCAGAATCTACATTTCCTGATTTTTAACCCAGGTGCCACCTCTGTGCCCCTGATTCCTAGGATGATAATCCCTGTGCCATTTCCTCAATACATTCCAGTCTTGCTCTGTGTGAAGGCCGAGGACTGGGATCCTCTGAGGCAGTTCCTTCTGACACGCAAGGAGAAACAAACTGGGACTTTGGGTCAGAGGGCAGGCTTCAGCTCAGAGCCAGGCTGGAGAGGCTGCCCCGTCAAGGCGTGTACGTGTACATGTACTGACACCATCCATCCCCTGCCAGCTCGTATAAACCTCTTACGGCCACTGGCCCATACCTGGGCCCAGAGCCTGGAAAAGGACCCAGCTGTGACCTAGACCTCCCACACAGACCTCCAAACTGGCTTGCCTGGGGCCGGTCCTGGGCCCAGAAGGGAACACATGTCCCAGCTTCCTGGTACAACTCTGCCCTTGGGTGGGTATGGTCCTGCCCCTGTGGTTTATAGCTCAGCTGCCAAGAACAGAGGCCAATTAGAGGTAAATAAGTCCCACTTTCCCCAGCCAAGAGGTTCAAGCTTAGGGGGTCTATTCAGGCCCGTGGGTCTGTCCATAACAGCAGGCTGACCCTGTGAGGGAGGGGTCAAGTGAGGCAGAAACTCTCCTCTGGACACAGTGACTTGCTGCTGCCTCTGCCCAGCACTGCCCTGAGGAGACCTTGGACCCCACCACACTGGGTGTTCATCCGGAAGGAGCTGCTTTTCTCACCATTTCCCATGGGACTTGGTAGGCTCATTAGCTTGCTTCAGATCACAGATTGGTGACCCCAGACCAGCACTTCCCGCCTCCCCTGCAGCAGCTGGGGGACAGGAGCCCCTTCTGCCACCTCCCCAGCTTTTCCTGCTTTGGACATCCTGGATATCGCACCTACGGTCCCCTCCTCCCACCTCGCTGTGGAGGCCTCGGAGCTAGAGACCAGAGTCCTGGCTGCACCCCGAGGCTGGGACTGCCCGGAGATATTTGTCCCTGTTCATGAAAGCCTCTGTTGTCAGAGCTGAAACCCTCCCCTATGCCCCAGAGGCTCCAGGAATGTGGCTGTGGGGCGGGGTCGGGGCCCACGCAGGTGGGGCTGGTGACTGGGTCTCAGGTCTGGGTGACAGGAATAAAGCCTTCCTTTGTGTGTGGGGGTGGGGTGGGGTGGGGGGCACTTTCCCATCTCAGTCTGGGAGCTGAAACTACAGGTACTGTGTGGACAGAAGCAGTTGGGGTAGAGGAGAGGGAGAGAGAGGAAGGAGGAGGGGTTTGGGGGAGGGGAGGGTCTTCCCAGCCTGCTGGTCATCACAATCACTTCATTTTGCAAGCATTTCCGGTCTGTCATCTCACTCTATAACGAGTCAGGCTGGGCAGGACTTATTTCCATTTTTCCGACTGGTAGACTGAGGCTCAGAGTGAGGAGACTTGATAACCCACAGCCACATAACTAATAAAAGAGAAAGGAGGCATTCTCCAGGCCCCAGGCCACGCATTCTCTCTGTCCCAAGCATCTCCCTGGGGACGGGCAGGAGGTGAGGGAGGATTCTAACGTCCATGGAGACCCCCCCACTCCCCCTGTGCCTCGAATGCTCCTTGTGGACCTGTAGCGGGGGCCGGTGTTAATGGGGTCAATGGTTTTTTTTTTCCTTTCTTTTTTTTTTATTGTTGCAAAATACACATAACAAATTTCGCCATCTCAGCCATTTCTCAGTGTACAGTTCTGTGGTATTAAACACACTCACATTGTTGTACAACCATCACCACCCTCCATCCTCATAACTCTTTCCGTCTTGTAAACATGAGACTTTATACCTATTAAACAGTAACGCTCCATTCTCCCTTCCCACCCCTGGCAACCACCATTACACTTTCTGTCTTTATGATTTTGACTCTTCCCTGTACCTCACGTAAGTGGGAAAATGACCCAATTTTAAGTTGTGAACCTGGCTTGGAGCTGTTTAGTCACATGCAGGTGGAGTCCAGCCCAGGCTCTTTCCACTGGGCTGCCCTGTCCCATTCCGAGGAGGGAAAGCTGGTTCTGGGGACTGCCTGTCTGATTTCAGTGGGCCAAGGACAGAAACTGGCACAGCCTCCAGGGCCCGGGGCTGCAGTCTGCGTTGGAGCCAAATGGAGTTTGATCTCCGCCCTTTCCCGCCCATCCCCTCCTGGAGCTAATGAGGAGGTCCTGGCTGCCCGGACATTGAGCTCATAGGAACCATTTGGGCCGAAGCCAGGGATTTGTGACCGGGGCAGCTGCCGCTCGGCTTGGGCCTGAGACTCGGCCTGGGCCTGAGAGTGTGTAGGGAAAGCCCCCTTGAAGGGCTGCTGGAGGTGAGTCAGGGTGCAGAGAGAAGGTGGCTGGGGTCCAGCCCTCCCTCACCCGGGGGGTGATGGCACGTAATTGTTACCGTGGTAATTGCTGGGGCCGTCATGTCTGCAGAGGCTTTAATGAGCTATGGCTGATCTGAGTTTGATTATTTTTCTTTCAGAGGAAAAGACAGTATCCTTTCACCCACGAGACAATACCTCACTCTCCGGGCCCAGCACTCAGCAGCTGGCTCAGTATGATGCTGAGGGAGGAGAACCCCTCCCCGTCCCCACGAGGATGATATCCCCCTCCATCACCCCAGCCCAGGTGCAGGATTCTAGGGTCTGGCAGAGGAGGGGAGCACCTTCTTTTCCTGCCCCCTGTTTGATTGGCGTGTCAGAGGGTCCCCTGAGTCCTATTGATGCCCCCTTGCTAGCTGTGCCATCTTATACAAAGAGCTTCCCCTCTCTGAGCCCCATTTTCATTCCTTCTGAAATAGGGGCAGGGAATACCTTCTGAGTCACAAGGATTAGAGGAGGCATGGGTGTAGAAGTGCTTTGTAAATTATCAAGTGTGCAGTGGAAGCATGCGATTACTGTTATTAGAGCAATAATGACAATGATCTGCATTGCCCCACAGGTGATGTTTATGGAAGAATATGGAAGAGTGAGATGCTTACTCACAGGGCAGATCTAATGCCCAAGGGCAAAAAAAAAAAAAAAGTCCCCCCAGGTGAGGGGTACTTGGGAGTCCTAAGTATTGGACGTGCACGCCCCTATCCGGCCCCTCAGAAGATGGGGAGCAGGATGGAGGCTCTTGGGCCTCAGGGCTTCTCCGTTAGTGGGAGTTGAGAGGACTTGTTGCCAGAAGGAAACTGAGACTTGAAAATTTCCAAGTCCAATGTTCCCAAGCAGTGACGGATAGAGCCTGGCTTGAACCTGGGTTTGAGGGGTTCCAGAGAGCCGTCTGCTTCATGATGTCGCAGCTCTGGGCCAGGAATTCTCCTCCTGGTGCTCCAGCCTGATCTGGCCCACTTCCCCACCACTGTCTCTCTCTAAACCCCAGAGCCAAGGCCAGAGGCCAGGCCATGCTTCCAGTGGCCCATAGGTCTCCGCGCACACCAGGCCCCCGAGCCGGTGGCAGACGAGAGGGCTCTCCTGAGCGCTGGACTCCCCTCTTCGGCTTCAGCAGCCTGCTCTTTGAGGTGGTGCTTTGGCCTTCTAGATCTCAGAGGGGCCTTCCAGTCCGCCTGCCAGGCTTCCCCGTCCCCGCCCTCCCTGCGGTGCTCAGGCATGTACAGCCCTCTGGTTGAGCCCCTCCCCAGCCCCGCCGCACTTCACAAGACAAACAGGGTTAATCTGGGCCCGCTGTGCAGCGACATGCCTCTCGCTGGCGAAGGCAGGGGCTTTCTGGAACTTGCTCCCATCTTATCTGCAGAGGTTTGCCCCAACTCGTCCCAGGAGCAAGTAAAGGTTCAGCGACATGTAGTTGGCAGGTGGTGGGATTATCAATCAGCTCCTTGTCAGCCCTGAGCCGGCTGGCTTTTGTGGGAATGCCAGTGCATTGGGACAGGGGCCTGGGGGGAGCTGGAGAAGTAGGGGGGGGGGTCTGTGGATCGGGGAGGAGAGGAGGAGAAGGGTGGAGGAGAAAAGTCCATTTGTAGGGTCAGGGAAGTGACAGATGCTGGCCCCTCTGGTCACCTCAGCTGGTACCAGACTCAGGCTCTCTCTCCTGTCCTCAGTTTATGCCCACGGCCCCTGCCTTCTTCCATGCACCTTGCCCACCAATCCCCAGAGCCAGGCAGGCTTAGACACGGGATTTGTGCAAGGGATCACGTGGAGCAGCCCTGCGAAGTGAACTCCCAAACTGAGAGCCAGCTGCCTGGAGGTGAGGGTCCTGGGCTGGAAGCAGCAGAGAAATCCAGGCGAGGGCAGAGTTGGCCTGAGCCACTAACAGTGCTGGCGGAGGGAGGGCTGGCAGACGTGCAGCAAGGTTCCTACGTTCGGGGTTTTCTCTTGGAGTGTAGAGATGAACCTGTAATCCAAGTGTTAAAATCATGGCCCGGGGCAAAACACCATTCATTCTGAATCATCTCCTTTGTTGCATTAAAAAAAAAAAAGGAAGAAAAGAAAAACCCCACACCAGCCACGTTGAGGTGTGCAGGCAGCTGTGTTTGTCAGGAACGCAGGAGTTGGCTTCCCTTTGGGGGAGGAGATGCAATCCCACACCCCCCTGGGAGGGGTATATAAGGAGCCCCTGGGCTGGGGGTGACAGGCACAGCCCTCAGGTTTCAGCCCAGCCTGCGCCTCCTGCCAGCTTCTCTCGTGCTGCTGAGAGCTCAGCACTGCTGCTTGGCCATGGCCACCACGTTTCTGCAGACTTCTTCCTCCACTTTTGGGGGTGGCTCTACTCGGGGGGGTTCCCTTCTGGCCGGAGGAGGAGGCTTTGGTGGGGGGAGTCTCTACGGGGGCGGTGGGAGCCGTAGTATCTCAGTTTCTTCTGCCAGGTTTGTCTCCTCGGGGTCAGCAGGGGGCTATGGGGGTGGCTTTGGTGGTGGGGCCAGTAGTGGTTATGGGGGTGGCTTCGGAGGTGGCTTTGGTGGGGGTTTTGGCAGTGGCTTCGGTGACTTCGGCGGTGGAGATGGCGGCCTCCTCTCCGGCAACGAGAAGATCACTATGCAGAATCTCAATGACCGCTTGGCCTCCTACCTGGAGAAGGTGCGTGCCCTGGAGGAGGCCAACGCCGACCTGGAGGTGAAGATCCGAGACTGGTACCAGAGACAGAGCCCAACCAGCCCGGAGCGTGACTACAGCCCCTACTTCAAGACCATTGATGAACTTCGGGACAAGGTAAGGCCTCCAGTGTTAGGGAGAGGGGAGCAGGTGGGTGATACCAGCTGCCCTGGGGGAAATCCTTTTCTGCCCAGGCAATGTTGTATAACCTTGCCAAGTGCAGGGAATGCGTTCCAGATGCGGTGGGAACACATCTTGCTCAACCTGGCAGTGCTGGGGATCCTGCGAATCTGGTCTGGACCAGTAGGGGCTGAGATGGGGGCAGTGCTCACACCTACGGGGCTCTACCTAGAGCACTCCTTTGCTTCTTTTGCAAGAATAAGGGTGCAGAGATGAACCTCAGGTCCTAGGAGTCCTGAACGCCAGGACCGCCTGCCTCACCCTCTGAATATCTTGGGTGGCAAAAGCCTTAGGATACCTGGGACTGTATGTGGACTCTGCCAGCTCCTCACTTACCCTTCTCTCACCTGCGCCTGTTTCCGTAGCTGCCCTCCAGGTTCCCACTGACTGGAATGTTCCATAGATGCATGGCTGTGTTAAGGTGTGCAGGAGGCCAGTGACCATGAGCTGTCCACAGGGGAGGTTGGTGGAGCAGCCCAAGAGGTCACCCTGCTCCTGGCCAGGCAGTTCCCATAGGGCATTCCCTGCTACCTTGGCTCCTTGGTCTTTCCTGTCCCAGAGACCAGGAGTGGCTGGATTCTGCCTGGGCACCCTACAGCCTACTCTTGCTGGTGTCAGAGGGGAGATGGTCAGTGAGGGGTCTCACATGAGGTGCAGGGCAGGGAAAGCAGCAGGGAAGAGGGAGGGGCCCTCTTGACACCAACTCCCTGTATCCTGCAGATCCTGGCGGCTGCCATTGACAACTCCCGGGTCATTCTGGAGATTGACAATGCCAGGCTGGCTGCTGACGACTTCAGACTCAAGTACGCTCCTTCCACATTGTCCCCCAGCTCAAGTGGTCCAGACCCCTCACCCCTCCTCACTTGGGTTTCCTCATCCTTTCAAGGTATGAGAACGAGGTGGCCCTGCGCCAGAGCGTGGAGGCCGACATCAATGGCCTGCGCAGGGTGCTGGACGAGCTGACCCTGACCAAGACCGACCTGGAGATGCAGATCGAGAACCTGAATGAGGAGCTGGCCTACTTGAAGAAGAACCACGAGGAGGTGAGGATCAGGCAGGGGCTAGGGCTGGTGGGAGGCAGAGTGGGGCCACTGGGGACTCTTCTTAGTTGGCTGAAGGGCTGAATGGCTCAGATATGCACCCGCCAACATAGAGGTCCTCATGGAGGGAAGGGACACTGGTAACCCAGACTCCTTTTCTTCTCTGATGCATCGCCAGGCGGGGTGGTCAGTGGGCACTGCTGTCCTGGTCTGTTTCATGAGCTCATAGAAGGGCCCTTCTGTCTGAGGTTCTCCCTTGGCAGGACCAGAGACTAGAGAGGAGGAGAGACCCTCAGAGCTGAGGGACCTGTGTGATCAAACCTCTTCATGTGGCATGGGAAACAGATGCCAGGGTGGGTATGGGGCAGAGCTGAGGTCACGTGGTGCATTAGTGATTAGTGATGGAGCCAGGATTGGCATGTGGGACCCCAGACTTGGCTCTGGCTTCCGCCCTCTGTCTCTGAATGCCCACCCTCCCCACCCTGAAGGAGATGAAGGAGTTTAGCAACCAGCTCGCTGGCCAAGTTAACGTGGAGATGGATGCAGCACCAGGCGTGGACCTGACCCGCGTGCTGTCAGAAATGAGGGAGCAGTACGAGGCCATGGCGGAGAAGAACCGCCGGGATGCTGAGGCCTGGTTCTTTAGCAAGGTGTGTCTGACTGGTGGGCCTCTCCCCAGCTTCCTGAGCCCCTGGGAGACCCATGGAGCTCACTTCTCTTGTGTGTGGCCTATAGACGGAGGAGCTGAATAAGGAGGTGGCCTCCAACACAGAGATGATCCAGACCAGCAAGACGGAGATCACAGACCTGAGACGCACGATACAGGGGCTGGAGATTGAGCTGCAGTCCCAGCTCAGCATGGTCTGGCTCCCTGCTAAACCCCTCTTCCTCCTGCCAAGCCTCCCCCTCCCGACCTCTGCCACCCTTCATGGCTGCTTTAAGCATTGGTGTTCCAAAGCTCCTCCGGGGGAGGTTCCATGTAACCCATTTGGCTTGTCTCCCCAAGCCCTCAATGGCTTCCTGTCTAGTCTGATGTGGTGTCTCTGGTCCGCTGCCCCACTAGAAAGCCGGGCTGGAGAGCACGCTGGCGGAGACAGAGTGCCGCTACGCTGCGCAGCTGCAGCAGATCCAGGGTCTCATCAGCAGCATCGAGGGCCAGCTGAGCGAGCTCCGCGGTGAGATGGAGTGCCAGAACCAGGAGTACAAGATGCTGCTGGACATCAAGACGCGGCTGGAACAGGAGATTGCCACCTACCGCAGCCTGCTGGAGGGCCAGGATGCCAGGCAGGGGCTGGGGTGCAGAGGGGGAGTGAGGGGTTAGGTGGAGAGTCATCTTAAGGGCATAGCAGTGTGTACAGTGAAAAGAGAGCAGAACATGGAGTCAGAGGTTCTGGACTCTGTGCTCTGGTCATTGGCTATTACTTTGGGCAGGTCACATCACCTCTCTGGTCCTGTGTGCCTTCTGTAAATGACAGAATTGGGCTAGTGGTCTTGGATTTGATGCTGGTTCCATTTCCTACAGGAAATAGATGGCTGTTATTAAAGATTAGAATCTATCTGCTTGGGGGTGGCAGGTCTGGAGGGCTTGCAGGATGTCCCAGCCTTTAGAGAAGTCAGATATGGGGGTAGGGGTGGAGAAGACTGCTTTGCTGTCTCCCTGTAGGCAGACCTGAGCTTCTGTCCTGTGCTTACATCTGCTTCCCTCTCTCTTGCAGGATGGCTGGCATTGGTACCAGAGAAGGTAAGAGGCTTAACTCTTCCTGAGTTGAAGGGGGAGAGGAACTGTTGAAGTAACAATTACCCTTGGAATGGGGAGGAAGGAGAAAGAGGCCAAGCATCCAAGTAGGGTGGGGAGATGCACATTCCAATAGGTACCTCCTCCTCCAGTGGGACCTCTGTCAGTCTCTGGTAGGGTTGGGGTTGAAGACTTATGGAGAACCTTCAAGGATAGCAAACTTTGTCCAGGGCATAGCTCCTGCCTAGGCCCCACCTTCATGTACTTTTGGATGCATGCATGCTAAGTCGTGTCAGTTGGATACGACTCTTTGTGACCCTATGGACTGTAGCCTGCCAGGCTCTTCTTGTCCATAGGCAAGAATACTGGAGTGGGTTCCCATGCCCTCCTCCAAGGGATCTTCATGACCCAGGAATTAAACCCATATCTTTTCTGTCTCCTGCACTGGCAGGCGGGTTCTTTACCACTAGTGCCACCTGGGAAGTCCCGTACTTATGGATAGATGCCCATGATTACTTCCTGTATATGTGCAGCTTAAAAGCTCAGACATTCTTGCTCACTGCAGGGCATACCTGCCGCTGCTCCCACCCATCTCTTTGATGAGTAATTCAGCACCAGTCGTCCGGGCAGCTCTGGAAGGATTGGCTGATGGCCATTCTCAGGGGTGCTGTCCAGTCTTCTCAGAGCTCAGCCGAGGCCCTGGCCCCCTTGGGAGGGAGTACAGGGAGCATCTCCCACTCTCAAACTTGCCCCTTCTTTCTACAGCCTCCCTGGGAGGTGGTGGTGGCGGCAAGGTCCGCATCAACGTTGAGGAGTCTGTGGATGGGAAGGTGGTTTCTTCCAGGAAGAGAGAAATCTAACAGCTCAGTGCAGGGGACTCGCCCCTGCCACCCCTGCCCTCCCAAGGCTGGCCAGAGGGGCTGGAAAAGCAAATTCCAGGCTCTGCTTTCAGAGGGTCTGGTCCAAGGGGTCCCTCGTCTCTTAGTTGGGTGCTTCCCGTGCTCTCCTCTGCCCCCTCCAGCTTTCCTGCCTCTGATAGAGCAGGGAGGTGCAAGAAACAGCTGTATTGTGTAACAAGCTCATGGTCTGTACCATGTCCATGCAATAAAGACTTGCTTTTCCTTTTGCAAATATCTCTCAGTGGTATGTCCAGTTTTTCTGGTTGGTGGCCTCTGGGAAAGGCCAAGGCCCACCTGTTGCCATCTCTCCCCGACTTTGACCTCTTCCCTGCACAGTCACTCTTTGGGGTGTCTGGGTCGCCTTGGACAAGCCAGGCTGATCGGATGACTTGCTGTCTGGCTGACCCCCTTTAGTGATCATGGAATCAGGAAACAGGGTTCCTTAGAGTGGTGTGGTGTACTTAACACAGAGTAAACACATCGAGACGTTGACTAATCACTCACTGGATGACTGACTGCGTAGACAGCTCTGATTCACCACAGTATGATTGGCACTGGGCTAGTGGCACACCCACTCACGGGTCTCATTTAACACAACTGCTGGTGGTCAGGCTTTGTTATGCCGTCTTAGAGATGAGGGAACTTAGAATTGAGGTGGGAAACTTACAAATGAGGTGGTCAGGCTGATGATTAGTCCAGTGGCCTCATGGCTGGACAGTAAGTAGCAGGGCTGGGCCTGGGCCCCACACCTGCATGACTCCAAGTTCACGGCTTATTCTGAGATCCCAGGCCCTGGTTCTTCACAGCCAATTGCCAGGACCTTCCCCCCCAGCTCTCACCGCATATGCTCCCTAATTTCCCCTCTTTTCCAGCCGGGTACACCTGACCTCTAGAGTGACTGAGCCACTTCCCATCTCTGAACCCCTGCAAACCTGGCCCCCATCCCCCCAAAGATGCTATCTCCCTACAAGGCACCAAAAGCGCCAAGAGGGAAAGACACCACCTCCAGAAAGCCCTCCCTGATTTCTCTAATTCCAAGTCCAAAGCAACTCCAGCCCTTACTGCGCTTCTTCATCCAAATCCTGCTCCCCTGTCCCCAGTTTCTACCTGAGGGCTCATTAGAGTAGTGGCATCCACACACACCTGATCTGCTGCCTCAGCTCTGGGGCTGGTCCCTCTGGAATCCATAGCCCCTGATGTGCTTGTGCTTGGTCACTCAGTTGTGTTTGACTCTTTGCAACCCCATGGACTGCAACCCGCCAGGCTTCTCTGTCCATGGGGACTCTCCAGGCGAGAATACTAGAGTGGGTTGCCATCTCCTCCTCCAGGGGATCTTTCCAACCCAGGGATCAAACTCAGGTCTCCCACATTGCAGCAGATTCTTTACCATCTGAGCCACCAGGGAAGCCCAAGAATACTGGAGTGGGCAGCCCATCCCTTCTCCAGGGGATCTTCCCGACCCAGGAATTGAAGCGGGGTCTCCTGCATTGCAGATGAATTCTTTACCAGCTGAGCTACCAGGGAAGCCCATAGACCCTGATAGAGGGCAGGGAATGAGGAAGTAGAGAACTCTGGGTCCTGGTTTGGCTGGGCTCAGGAGAGGATTGAGGGGAGAGGGAGAAGGAGAGGGAGAACCGGTTTCTTTGTCCTGCTGGGAAGATCACATAGGAGGTGCTGCTGTTCTCCTAAGAATCAGATCATTTGTGGGGAGGGCCAGGCCTTCTGAGAGGCACCCCGTGGGTCTCACTGGGTGAAACTCCTTTTCCAGCAACCCTAGTTGGAAAGAAGGTGGCATCCGTTCTTTCTGAGGGGGATGTAATCTAGAATGTGTCTCCTGAGTGCACACTTCAAGGCCAGATTTCCCTGGGGCTGGTGGGGAGGAAAGGGATTTTATTAGTGTCTGTACACTCCCATAATAAAGAATCTGCTTGCAATGAAGGAAACCCGGGTTGGATCCTTGGGTCGGGAAGATCCCCTGGAGAAGGGAATGGCTACCCACTCCAGTATTCTTGCCTGACGAATTCTATGGACAGAGGAGCCTGATGGGCTGCAGTCCATGTGGTGGCAGTGTCGGACACAACTGAGCAACTAGCACTGCACCCTGCCAGGCTCTGGACAAGGCATTCAATGGATGGTGTCTCATTTCCTCTCCCCAAAGCTTTTGAAATCGAGGCCAGACTTGAGCAGCAGTTTTCAGAAGAGGAAACTGAGGCCCAGGGAAGCTAAATCACATTCATGAAGCCATAAGCTAGGGAATAGTGAAACTGGGTCTGGGACTGTCCCTCCGATTCCAGACCCTTGCTTTTTCCTTGATGCCAGGGTAGTGGGGGTGGGGGGTGGGCGGGGTGTCAGAAGCTGGCGACACCTTCCTTAGAGAGTGTGCTGGTCTGAAACTCATTTCTTGACCTCTAGGGGCAAACTATTCAAGTGTCACACAGCCAATATGGTCAGAAAGATAGTCCTCACAAGGAACCTTGGTCTCTCACGCTGCGGTTCAAGCCCAGAGCACCAGGTGCCGTGTCCCCGACATCCTGGGGCTCAGCCAGGCTCCTTTGGGACACTCTCCCACCCCACTGTTGACAATGGTACCTGGGCTACTGCCCCTGCATCACTGACATCCAGGCCTCTACTGAGAGGTCTCAGCCCTAAATAGCCAGAGTGGAGTCTACTTTGTTTGCAAAAATAACCACGTCTGCAAAAGTGCTGGGCAGCATGGGGCTCAGCCGTCCCTCATCCAGTGAGCCTCCTCTAGAGGCCAGACCCTGAGCTGGGGGGGAAGGAGGCTGCTTCTCCTTGGAGCACCCCTGCCAGTGCTGCTGGCCTGCTCTGCTGGGATTCAGGGACAGGCTATCAGAGAGGCCCTTGCAATTTGCCAAGTTCTGTCCCCTGCCTGACCCTGGAGTGAGATGCCCACTCCCAGGGAGAGTGCATGCCTGGCTGAGCCCTTAAATTGTCTCTGGGCATAGACAGCCACCTCCTGCCCTTTCCGTGGATAGAGATGGTGCTGAGTTTCTAGCCAATCCGGGAAGCAGGCAGCAGACCTCCCTCCGCTGCTGAGAGGGCAGCTTTGGGACTAGGGATTAGGGCTCTGGGCGTGTCCTGGGTTCAGGCTGGCTTTCCCAGAGCAGGCAGGGGGCATGCCCACCTTTCTCACTGAGGACTCTGAGTCCCTGTCCGCCTCTGAGTCTCAGTCTCCCCGTCTTTACATGAAAGATTCTGATTGGACAAGATGATTTTGAGGTTCTCGATGAGCGGCTCTACATCCTGAGAACTCAGCGGGGAGCCTGACCTGGGAGACCTGTGGCAGCAGGGGCGGTGTCTGCTCCATGCACGGCTGAGTCCTCAGCGGGGCCTCTCAGTAAATATTTATTGCATGAGTGCATGAAATTTTTTCTCTTTTGCTCCTTCCTGCCTTAGGCATGGCTGTGGATATTCACTGGTGTCTTGGGCGTGTGCCCACCTAGGGGTCCCCTGTCCCTCCATGTGCAACTGGCTGCATGAAGGAAAATAAAACGATGCCAGCTTTTCCCATGAGATTTGGAGCTGGGGTGATCTCACTGGATACCATTTCTGCTAGATATTCCTTCTCACTTAAAGCCAGCAGACAGCGTGTCTCTGAAACAGCCTTTCAGGCAGTTAGCCAGCGCTGCCCTCTGCCAGGAAAGGTATTCGGAG